ATATGTCTCAAATATGGGAAGGTGTGTGGACATGAAAAAACACAAGTTATTTGGTATGAAAAGTCACGATTGTCATGTATTCATGCAAAGATTGGTTCCTATTGCATTCCGTGAGCTATTACCAAAAAAGGTGTGGGAAGCACTTACTGAGATGAGTCTTTTCTTTAGGGATGTCACTGCTACAGTAATACGTGAAGAGGATATGGTACGACTTCAACAAGAAATACCTGAAATACTTTGTAAATTAGAGCGTGTATTCCCTCCTAGCTTCTTTGATTCAATGGAGCATCTCCCTGTGCATCTCGCTTATGAAGCAATGCTAGCTGGTCCGGCACAATATCGATGGATGTATCCATTTGAGAGGTAAGATTTCATTTATATATTCAAGTACTTCATTTTTTTGGGCAATTAAACTGATTTTGTTAATCACTAAGCGACAATACAAAACTTAGAGAGGAACCAACCAGTAACCTTCCCTTCTTAGACAACACTTAAATAACCTTACAGTCCTTATGACAATCCCTAATCAGTATCTCCAATAGAAAGTCATAACTCAAATTAAATAGGACTTAAAAGCTCAAATAAACTCGTGTTACTTCTTAAATAGCTGCATAGGCCAGTCTTCACAACATGTAGTATTATGACATATGAGATTTTTCTAAGGAACATATCCTCCAACACCTCTTAAAGTTTTATAAGTGTATGATATTTTGTCTCCCCCTATGTTCTATTTGTGTATTTAAAATGATAATCTGCCAGAATTTCAACATATGACACATTTTTCTTATCATCCAAAAAGCATATTGGGCACCTCCATGTGATCTGCTAGTCTCCAATATTTTATAAAGTATGTATGGACCAAATTGATTCATAGTCTTTCCCTGTTCTAACTCAATAACCACAACAGTTTGCAAATTGGAGCTTGATTCCAGACCTTCAAGCTAATGGTCAGGCCTCCTACACCTTTAGGAAGAGTCACTTTGTGTTATGCTACAAGTGTCCTTTTAGAAATATTGGTCAGACGTGTCCACAAATATTTTCTACAAGCAGCTTCGATGAGTTTAATAACCTTTTATGGTAGTAAAATAGATGTGACATGTCTGCTTGGATACAAAACATTATTGCTCTAATTAGTTGAAGCCTCCGACATATGATAATTTTCTAGCCATCCAATTAGTGATCTTTGCTGTAATTTTATCTACTTAAGGTTTCCAATGCAAAACTGTCATCCTTTCAGTAGAGAAAAAAGGAACTCCTAAGTATATAAATGGTAAAGCATCTATTTTATAGTACAATGGACTCAATATGTAATTCCTTTTATATGTCCATAACCACTAAAATAGACTTGTTATTTAAGTACTTCATTTTCATCATTATGAATGACTAACGCCTTGAGCTTTTGTACTATTTTCAGAAACCTTCGAAAATATAAATATAATGTTCGAAATAAGGCACATGTTGAAGGATGCATATGCAATGCGTATATAGTTGATGAAGGTTCATCCTTATGTTCACACTACTTCAAGCCTCATGTTTACACAAGGCATAGAAAAGTGCCACGAAATGACGATGGTGGCATAGGCGAACAAGATAGATACAATGGTAATCTTTCTATATTCACCTATCCAGGTCGTGGATTTGGGGAACTAAATAGGAGATATCTAACTGAAGAAGAACTCAAAGCAGCTCATATTTATATTTTACTAAATTGCAGAGAAGTGCAACCATATGTGGAGTAAGCTTTCAAGCTTTTGTTTACATTTATACATTATATTTATCAAAATACTTACATATTCTTTTTCTTATATGTGATCCAAAGGAAATTTATTGACTCCCTTCATCAAAATTTTCTACGAATTACGGAGCAGGAAGTGGATAAGAAACTTTATGAAGATTTTGCATCATGGTTCACAATATATGTGAGCACTTGTACAATATCTTTCCATCTGTACTTATTTCATTTATAAGAAACTCTAATTGTTTTAATTTAATAGGCTCGAGTCCACATAGATAATCAGTTCATCAAGGCGCTTGCAGAAGGTCCATGTCGATCAGCGAAACAATATACTGGTTATAATGTCAACGGCTTTAAATTTCACACTAAGGGTCGCATTTTTTCTAGAGCATCTGATAACAGTGGCATTTCCATAAAAGGAACCAATTATAGTGCAGACGACAATGACTACTGTGGTGTGCTTACTGAAATTCTTGAATTGGAGTACAAGGGCAGTACACCGATCAAAAGAACAATTTTATTTAAATGTGAATGGTTTGACCCCACACCAAACGTAGGAATGAAGATTCACCCACAATATAAACTTGTGGATATCAATCATAGAAGAAAATTGAGGAAGTACGAACCATTTGTTTTGGCAATGCAAGCGGCTCAAGTGTATTATGCTACTTATCCTAGCTTACGGCGTGATAAGAGTGATTGGTGGGCTGTGTGCAAAACAAAAGCTCGGGGTATTGTGGTTATGCCGACGTCATATTTATCGTCTCCTCTAGTAGATGTTGCAGAGCCATTCCAATGTGACGGAGATGGTTTAAGATTTGATGTGGTGTACGATAATGAAAATGTTGTCCGAAATGATCCAAATGGAGAATTCATAAATTTAAGAGATGAGAATGATGATTTAGATGATGAGACAGAATTTCATGATGAACCAGAATCAGAATCAGATGATGAAAATGAGAATGAAGAGGCATACTGTGAAAGTGGCAGTGAATAAAGTCAAAGTGCTTATCTCTAATCTCTTCAAATATAAGAATTGGAGCGACTGAAACGTAGTATATAAGCTGATTTTATTTCAATTAGATTTTATATTTCTTGCTGACAAAGTTCTGAATTTTAAATGTCACCAATTTATATTTCTCCTTTACCAGTGTAATTATTTTGTTTTAATTGTTCTCCAGGTTGTTTTGTTTGAGCAACTATCCCTCACTCTCATTTCGTAATATGAAGTAGACCATTCTAGATCTATGTTTTGAATAGTGATGGAATAGCTTTATTCCTTGAAGTGTTTATGTAAAGAGGGGTGGATGAAGCAGATATTCTGGAGAAAGAACATCAGATCCAGTGACATCTCCTCTAATGTCTAGTTTCACACCTAATCAAGCACCATCATTGCATGAAGTGCCGACACCAGTTATGCCGGATTCAGTTGTTGTCAACATATCGGTACCATCTTCATCTGTGGGGATAGAAACACCTAGAAATGACATTGTATCTACAACTTCGTCAAATACAACTGATGATACCCGCACCCGAATTGAAATTGTCCTGGGATGGTAAGTGTACAACATCGTTTCATTTACATTGTTTTGCTTCAGGCAAGAAAATAAGCCATATTGATTTTCTTTCCATCCTATTTTTCTATAAATCTTTCAAAGTTTTGTTGGTTTTCTAAAATTGCAATGATGGGAATGAATTACAGAATTGAGGTGTTTCTAAAAAATCATTCTTGAAGAAAGTAGCTTGTTAACTGATGTCTACATTTCTCTTATATAAGAAGCAATAGTTGAATGCTGCTACAGAACATGGAAAGGAATCAAATTTGTAGAATGAATTTCCAGAACTTTTGTTCTTGATCTACATGTTCGAATTACAAAGTTGAATGTGCAGTTCCTAGAACTTTTGCTCTTGATCTACATATTCAGATTGTGTGGTTAAATTATTGTTTACTTTGCTTTCAAAAGTATGTTTCTTCTTTTCCCACTGGATCATATCTTACTAAGGGACTAAGAATTGGTAGGAATATGTGAAATTCTCTATAATTTTCTTAAGCTCACTGAATTCTAGTCTGCATTTGAGGTACTCATCTGATGAATTCAAGAGGCTATTTTCTTGTTATTTGCAGAATATGTTTATTTGAAAACTGAGAACATGAACTGCAGAGTACATGTTAATTATTTTGAGTGATATTTCAGTTTATGTTTTGCTTTTATTACTCGTTGGTACTTCTTGTATAAGGAAATAACATTTCTGAGTTTGAAAATTACATACTTGAGCCTATTTTTCTAATCAATAATTGTCTTCTATTTTACTCCCATCTTGTAGCTGTTTTTCATGTAGACATCAACTACATGGTGCATTTTTTAGAATCTGATTTGATATTAGTGTCTATGGTGTGACATTTCTTTAATCTCAACAGTCCTTATTTCCTCAAGTTTCTCTTATCTTTCGCAATATATCATTAGAATTCATACTAGAATTTTTTTTACTTGTTCCAGATTAAGCTTAGATATGAATCTACGTACTGAACCCAAGCTTAGTATGGGATCCTCACAGCTAGTCATTTCAGGATACAATAATAGTAGGATTTTATAATTTATGTCTAATAATGGTATCTTTGATAATACTTTCATAAATTTCATATTATTCTTCCTTACTTCCTCTACCTCTTCAGCTCTTATATGTCGATAAAGACACTGATAATACACTCTAGCAACTGCTTGATGTACATAAATAAAATTGAGTATTGAAATAATTACATGTTATATTTATACAAGTTTGGAGCCAAGTAACGATGTATCTCGGGCAATCACAAAACTCTTTAAGGAAAAATTAGATCCCGAAGGATATGATTGGAAGTCAGTTACACCAGAGATTAAGGACTTCTACTGGGAGGAGTTTAAGGTAAACTATACTATCCATTTTTCTTAGTAACTATTGATTTATTACGAAAGTAGAACTGTACAGATCAAACAAGAACAAAAGAAAAACATAGCTGATGAAACAGAACCACCACAACTAGCTAAAAGATAAACTTAGGTTGTCTCATCTGCTACATCTAGAAACAAAAGAATATTTAGGGATACAAGTTCACCGTTTCTAATAATGAAGCAAAATTTCCTATTGTTATTACTCTTATGAAACACCACTTGGATAGCTTGTCTAACTATAACTTCAGGTTGTCTTGGTGTGCCTTTGAAAATATGTTGATTCCTTTCCATCCAAATATGGTATACACTACCAGCCAAGACAACTCTCTATATATCTGCTTTGTGACTCTTTCCTTTCATTAAATTACTTGCCCAGTCTACTTCATCCTTCCGTCCCATAGGAGCTCTTGTTATGCCCTGCCACTATAACAACTTAGTCCATACGTTGTGGGAGGAA